CCGCACTTTGAGATGGGGATCAGTAAACTCAAACATAATTTTAAGAAGACTGAAATGTTTATCTGTTCTTCTGCAGGATGGACGGAATATCCAGTACAGCAGAAGCAGTAGACAGTCTCTACTCAATGTCTCCATTAATAAGACCTCAGCGGTTCAGCATATCCTTGAAACATCTATTGCGGCAGGTGAGGAGGTAGGGCAGCCATATGCAATTGTGACCTTTGACCTAGCTGTTGCAACAGAATCCTACTCTTTGGTTTGGTAATACCATGAGAAATTCAGCAAAGCAATTGTTAGGATGGGTTTTTAGCTCACTTGGCCCAAAGGGCTTATGCCATAGCGTGGCCTCCATCGTCCATCCGTCGTCCGTCATGCGTCCGTCAACTTTTTATTTAAACAACTTCTTCTGAAATACCGAAAGGCGTAGGGTTATCATATTTGGCTAGAAGGTTCCTTTCATGAATCCCAACAAAATTTGTAAAAAGAAATGACCTTGACCCATATTCAAGGTCACAGAGGTCAAATGTATTAAAACCTTTAAACGACTTCTTCCAAAATACCGTAAGGCCTAGAATGTTTATATTTGGCCGGGAGGTTCCTTTGATAAAGCCCAACAAAGTTTGCGAATAGAAAGGACCTTGTCCCATATTCCATGTCACAGAGGTCAAATATGGTAAAACATTTAAACGACATCTTCCGAAATAATGGAATGCCTAGAATCATTATATTAGGCTATTATGTTCCTCTTATGGTTTCCTACAATATTTGCTTAAAGAAATAACCATGACCAATCTTCTAGGTCATAGGGTCAAATTTGTTCAAAAATCTAAACGACTTCTTCTGAAATTATGAAAAGCCTAGAATCATTATAATTGGCCAGTATGTTCCTTTTATCAAGCCCAAGAAAGTTGGCAAAAAAAAAACTTTGACCCATATTCAAGGTCACAGATGTCAAATGTGTTAAAACATTTAAACGACTTCTTCCAAAATACCGGAATGCCTAGAATCGTTATATATGGCTAGAAGGTTCCTTTGATGAAGCCCAACAAAGTTTGCGAAAAAGAAATAACCTTGACCAATATTCAAGGTCACAGATGTCAAATGTGTTAAAACATTAAAACGACTTTTTCTGAGTAACCAAATATCTAGGATATTGTGCTAAATTAGGTTCTCAATGATGCCCGATGATATTTGAGAAAAGAAATGGCCTTGACCCATATTCAATGCAATAAGCCTTTGAACAACTTCTGCTTAACCAAATGCCCTAAAATCATAATATTTGGCCAAAAGGTCCCCTTTATAGTGCCCATATAGTGTATGAAAAATAGCTTGACCCATAAAAATATTTAAAGTCACTGGAGTTAAATTTGGTAAAATCATTGACAACTTCTGATTGACCAAACGCTATCATATGTGGCCAGTAAAAGTTTCACAAAGGCTTATATACAAATATGTAGAACCTTCCAATGACTTACTAAAGGAATATATTTGGCTAGGGATTTTCTTGGCATAATTTGGAATAAATTATAAAGTCCTTTCACAGTAATGTCACATTGTTCCAAAAATAGATTAGGCGAAGCCCCCTGGAGGTCTGAGAGGCTTGAGCTAAGTAATGTGAAAAACTGCATGTTAGCCAATTATTTAAGTTCTATTCACAGCATTGAAATACAGAAAACATGATTGGAAAGAGAATTGAAAGAGCTTCATTTTGATCGAAGATTCTTCATAATTATAGCACAAATAAATGAGAAATTCCAAGTTGATCCCATTTACTATGCAGTGTTTATAAGCCTACAGGAAACTGTTATATCTCCAGTAACCGGGCTTAACTGACCATGGCGACATCACTTATGATGCTATATGAAACGTTTTATAATTGGTTTTGCAATTTACCTCGTGCTCTACTGGATTTATTACCTCATAAACAAAGAAAAAATAAAAGATAATCCTTAAATACAGATTTCGTATGAAAAGCCTATGGTGTTATTCCACTTACTGCTAGATGAAAGTCCATCGACTCGTAAAACACAACCATATTGAAATACACAGGAACCGACTACACCAATACTGCAACAGGCAAAATAAATATACATAGATAAATCACAACACCCTACATTCCTACCTAAGACAATAAAAAACCCTCAAGCCAAAAGTCATACAGGCAAAATTCAGATATTCAGGATACTATCACCCGAGGAGTCAGAACATCATTCATTTTTGTTTACGCTTTCTAATCTACGGTCATTACATTTGGCCAAACGTTCTGTCCTTCCATTTGTTGAATGTACGGTTCATTCTCCTTTATACCCCATTAATATAAGTACCCATTGTATTGTTGCTCTTTTTGTAGATAACAAATAAAACATTAATAATTGTAACGCGAAACGAGCATCTGTTTAGAATTCGAGGGGAAAACAAAGGAATACCAGTATAATTATATATATATATATATATATATACTGATAGTACTAGGTATATATAAATATATATATACTAATAGTACTAGGTATATATATATATATTAAAATTGAGAAATATCAATTCACTCCCTCCCTAGAAGTAGGATAACGAACTTTCATTGTCAAAATCAAAGATTGCCACTTGTCAGCAATGTCGTTTTTTCTGATCAGTCCCTCAAAAGGGCACAATTAGGGATCATTGAGAAACAATATATGGAATTTGGTATTCATCTACTACTTCTTCTTGGAATAGCGATAAAGAAAATTGTTTACAGACGGACGACAAATCATGGACGTAGATCAATTTTGATAGCCAACCATCTCTCGAGTTCAATGATATGATAAAAAAAGTGGGGGGGATTTCCTAGCGAAATATCGGCATTTGAGAGAGTAACTCAAACCAAATGGTTTCGGTTGACACATGCAACCTTATTAAGATAAAGTTTTATTGACCATAATATTGATCTGATTTGGAAAATATTCTTGTGCAGTATGGAGTTTGATGCTCGTTAATATGTTTGGTGGTTCCGTTGTTTATCGTGTCTTCATTTGAGAACGCGGAATTACTTCCTTGTATTAAAAGATTTAAATGGCAGTTATCATTAATAAAGAAAATAGGTTACCCTTCCGGAACACCTTGTCTGATTCTCCTTGCCATTTTCTTATAAGAATGCTTGTAAATGCTTTCTTTTGAAATCTTTCTTTGATCCTATTTTGCGTTCCTTTAATCACACTTGAGTTTGACTTCAGATGCTTTGTTGTTATTAAACGTGCTGATATTGTTTGTTGATGAACAATGAAAGAATTACTCAAGTTAGTGTGACTTTTCTTATGACGGTAGAAGGATAGCTCACTCGAGTAAAATGGCAATTTGTATATTGTAAAGGTTGTTATTTCTAACGGATTCTTTTTTCTCTATCACATAAAGGTAAAAAATGAAAATGAAATTTGAAAAGAAAGTCATATTCCGTCCAATACCATCCATGAACATATATACATACTTGATTCTTTTACTGGAGGATTTGATGTACAGTATGCTATCAGCCATTAATAATACAGATACAAAAATGTCTCATAGGTTTTGTAAACGCAAACCATATATTGGAAGAAACTTTTATTGAAATTGCGATGTTGTCAATATCTGAATAACACAAAAAACATTAACAGTAGTAAAATATTTGTGAAACAATAAAAATATCACCAAAAGCTTATGTGCAAGAGCAAACATATACATATATCACATATCATATACATTTATCACATAACATATACAATATGACAGTAACCCATTATGTTCATATCAGTTAGCCTCTTAATTAGCTCCTATACTGTAAACTAGTGACTACATATCACTTATTATAGTACTACCTAGTTCATCCTTATACACTGTATCCCTTGATCATTAAGACGTCTATCTCCCAAATATAGCCATTTATCTTCAAACAATAAGTTTCCATACTTATCAAAGCTAATCTTCATAAAAGCTAGCACCTGCACATATGATTTATCTTTAGCTAACTTCCGTATACCGTTAATTATGGTTGAAAGCTACTTTCCATCCTTTTATCCTTATATCTTAAAACTTTTTTTATCTGTAAAGAAAGCTACCGCATATTACGACGGCTATCTCGCTCCGACATAAAAAACGCTTTTTCCTGTAACGCCTGTAACGTCATATGACAGTCTCTCACTTTTGTTATCTAACAGGCGATAGTAAACAACTGTATGCTGTATATATCATGGGACTAAGTAGAGGATCAAACATGGATACAGTAGAAGATGAGCATCATAGTCATGACATTTAATAAACAAGACGATAAAATCTCCACATAAAGTAAGACATACAGTCGATTAAAGTCCACAACCATCCAACATCTAAGTAGAATGTGTAGAATACATACAAACATTTAAACGTTTTTCTATATCCATGGTTTTAATTGTTCAATTATAACGGAAATTGTAACGAGTCATCACTCTTATTGTTTATTGAGAGTGGCAATATATATATCTTCCTAACGTCTACCTAACGAAATCGTAAATGGACACCATAGCAGAAACTATGAGATTCATGGAAAACTGAGTGGAAGACCGTGTTTTTACACTAGTAATGATGCTTTTACATCTTCTACTTCTAACATCAGTGCAGTGTTAACACATTATATTTCTGCAAGAAGTATTATGTCTATTTTGATTTGTAATGTCCTCTGGTAATTTAAGGAATTATGTACGTAAAATTTATATAAATATATAGTGGTACATATATAAAAATGGCATAATTAGATTCAATAGAGAGTTCATATAAACATTTGCAAAACATCATTAAAAATACCTAGATCAAGCAGAGTTTCTAAATGAGTCGGATAATATCAAAGGACAAATACCTATCTAAGGAATAAAACAAATGGTATGAACTGCCCCAGATCTCCATTACTTTTCATAATGAGTTTTAAAGATGTAATAGATGTCAGTCTGATGGCTCTCACATCTGTCAGCATGAACATGTCACTCTTTGTTGTTGGGAACACAGAACACAATATTTCTCTAATATATTGCGTATCCTATCCCAAGTGCCATCATGAATGTGAAGGTCACTATCAGAACAATGAACAGAAATATCCTAAGGAAACTTTTATCCAGCAGTCGTCCAACCTCCAACCACGTGTAGTCAGCGACATCACATGTGTTCTTAGTCTCTAGGTCAGTGTCCATTGTCTTTGATTCTTTCATTGTGTTTTCTGAAACCTCTTTAGACATGTCCATGCTCCCAATGTTGTTTCTGTTTCTGACGCACGAACAACACCAGCAGCGGGAATGTTCTTTTCTTTTTTGAAGCGTTAACATCATCAGTACGCTGACAGTTTTCAGTAGCCACTTTGGTACTGCAGTGTCCGGATCTGAATGGTGACACTCCAAAACCAGTATTGTGAGTAAGACTGAAATCATTCCTAGTGCCAGGATGAACACAAGATACACAGCTGAAAAAAAAAAAAACGAAAAAGAAATGAAAATATATAAATATTGATATCAACAGTCGAGTTCACAATAATAAGTTTTATTAGTGATATATTTAATGATATTCTTGTCCTAGAGTTTTGCCTGGAGACTTTTCTTCACACTTCTAGTTCCAATCTCCGTTTTTATCATATATTGTTCTACATCAAACGATCTTGGATAACAGTTTGTACAAAACACACTAGTAAGTAACACCTTTTAATACAAAGTTAGAACTAGATACAGTAGAGCCAAACAGATAATTAAACTACATCTAACAGCTGTTGCGTCCTGCTAGGATTCGTCAGTGATGCCAACAGTTTAAATTTTCCTAAGAGGTAACCGAGAAAAATCCAAAGTGATCGAAAGAAAGGTCAGAATCTAGACTGGGAAGTGCACTAGCACATAATTCAATTAATGTAGTAATTTTCATATCTCATATAGCTTTAGAACAACGTCAAGTACACGTGTATATTCTGAACCGAATGAATTAAAACGTGAAGGTTACGGCAAATCTCGGTGACTTAAAGTCCACCAGCAATGTCTACCACTTGTTAATTTAAAGATTGTACAAAAGATACACAAATGAATACCACCTTTTAATAGATCACACCAATGGAGATGATTTTTATAAATGTTGTGTAGATAATACTTACACAGTAAGGACGTATTGACTGAAGTTGTGGGTATGTTATCGGCCACTAGAGTCAGATACACAGCATACGACAACAGAACCGTCAGTGAGTACCCAATTCTCTCTCCAGATTCGGCGGGAAGTTTGAACGCCATACAGCTCAGAAACGCCAGCAGTATTGTAGGGGTCAGTGTGTTAAGTACATGGTACATCGGTCGACGTTTTAAATTCAGATGAAAGGTCACAGACGAAAATGAGTTCCCTCCCCTGCCTCTGTCGGTGGTACTCGTTGTATATGATTTATATGCCCATTCTCCATTTTCCTTGAAATATGTGAAATCTAGAGGCGATGAATCTAATGCTAGCGTGATCTCAGATGCAGTGTAACCCCAAGTACTAACGCTGATATCACACTCTTGAGTATCAAACGGGTAGAATGTGACGTCAGTCTCACACAGCGTGACGTATATTCCAGATGGGGTCCACGACAGGGTACCATCGTTGATTACTCGTATTGGAATGGAATCATCACTCATCACAGATATATCACTTACCCTGTAATGTATGAAGAATGTGTGTTTGTTTTCATCGTTACAGGGAAACTTAATGTCACTATGTGAATACAATGTACATGATTATAATAGAATCAGTCAACACTAGCAATAATTTCAATCGGAATAGTTTCATCAGAGCTTAATGTATAACATGAGAGTTTATGCTACTTCTTAAAAATAACTGCACAGATCTTGTAAAATAGACATTTAGTCACATTTTGGAAAGAAAATCATGTTGTTCTAGCCTTCGGTTTAACAATAAACTGATTTGAATTGAACTGAATGTTAAGTCAAACGTCTACACATTTCATGTCATTACGTCATTCAGGCAAACCAAATGAGTGAAAGTTCATAGAGGAACCATGTAGGAACTGGTATCTGACTATGTAGGAACCGGTTTCTGACCATAACGGAACGTTATCCGATCATGTATGAACCGGTATCTGACCATGTAGGAACCGGTATCTGACCATGTAGGAACCGGTATCTGACTATGTAGGAACTGGTATCTGACTATGAAGGAACCGGTATCTGACTATGTAGGAACCGGTATCTGACTATGTAGGAACCGGTATCTGACCATGTAGGAACCGGTATCTGACTATGTAGGAACCGGTATCTGACTATGTAATGTAGGAACCAGTATCTGACTATGTAGGAAACGGTACCTGACTATGTAGAAACCGGTATCTGACCATGTAGGAACCGGTATCTGACTATGTAGGAACCGGTATCTGACTATGTAGGAACCGGTATCTGACTATGTAGGAACCGGTATCTGACTATGTAGGAACTGGTATCTGACCATGTAGGAACCGGTATCTCACCATGTAGGAACCGGTATCTGACTATGTAGAAACTGGTATCTGACTATGAAGGAACCGGTATCTGACTATGTAGGAACCGGTATCTGACCATGTAGGAACCGGTATCTGACTATGTAGGAACTGGTATCTGACTATGTAGGAACCGGTATCTGACTATGTAGGAACCGGTATCTGACCATGTAGGGACTGGTATATCTGACTATGTAGGAACTGGTATCTGACTATGTAGGAACCGGTATCTGACTATGTAGGAACCGGTATCTGACCATGTAGGAACCGGTATCTGACTATGTAGGAACCGGTATCTGACTATGTAGGAACCGGTATCTGACTATGTAGGAACCGGTATCTGACTATGTAGGAACCGGTATCTGACTATGTAGGAACCGGTATCTATGTAGGAACCTGCTATGTAGGAACCGGTATCTGATTATGTAGGAACCGGTATCTGACTATGTAGGAACCGGTATCTGACTATGTAGGAACCGGTATCTGACTATGTAGGAACCGGTATCTGACTATGTAGGAACCGGTATCTATGTAGGGTATCTGACAATGTAGAAACCGGTATCTGACAATGTAGGAACCGGTATCTGACTATGTAGGAACCGGTATCTATGTAGGAACCTGCTATGTAGGAACCGGTATCTGATTATGTAGGAACCGGTATCTGACTATGTAGGAACCGGTATCTGACCATGTAGGAACCGGTATCTGACTATGTAGGAACCGGTATCTGACTATGTAGGAACCGGTATCTGACTATGTATGAACCGGTATCTGACTATGCAGGAACCGGTATCTGACCATGTAGGAACCGGTATCTGACTATGTAGGAAACGGTACCTGACTATGTAGAAACCGGTATCTGACCATGTAGGAACCGGTATCTGACAATGTAGGAACCGGTATCTGACCATGTAGGAACCGGTATCTGACTATGTAGGAACCGGTATCTGACTATGTAGGAACCGGTATCTGACTATGTAGGAACCGGTATCTGACCATGTAGGAACCGGTATCTGACCATGTAGGAACCGGTATCTGACAATGTAGGAACCGGTATCTGACCATGTAGGAACCGGTATCTGACTATGTAGGAACCGGTATCTGACTATGTAGGAACCGGTATCTGACCATGTAGGAACCGGTATCTGACAATGTAGGAACCGGTATCTGACTATGTAGGAACCGGTATCTGACTATGTAGGAACTGGTATCTCACCATGAAGGAACCGGTATCTGACTATGTAGGAACCGGTATCTGACTATGTAGGAACCGGTATCTGACTATGTAGGAACCGGTATCTGACTATGTAGGAACCGGTATCTGACTATGTAGGAACCGGTATCTGACTATGTAGGAACCGGTATCTGACCATGTAGGAACCGGTATCTGACTATGTAGGAACCGGTATCTGACTATGTAGGAACCGGTATCTGACAATGTAGGAACCGGTATCTGACTATGTAGGAACCGGTATCTGACTATGTAGGAACCGGTATCTGACAATGTAGGAACCGGTATCTGACTATGTAGGAACCGGTACCTGACTATGTAGAAACCGGTATCTGACCATGTAGGAACCGGTATCTGACTATGTAGGAACCGGTATCTGACAATGTTAGAACCGGTATCTGACTATGTAGGAACCGGTATCTATGTATGAACCGGTATCTGACTTTGCAGGAACCGGTTTCTGACCATGTAGAAACCGGTATCTGACCATGTAGGAACCGGTATCTGACTATGTAGGAACCGGTATCTGACTATGTAGGAACCGGTATCTGACAATGTAGGAACCGGTATCTGACTATGTAGGAACCGGTATCTATGTAGGAACCTGTATCTGACTATGTAGGAACTGGTATCTGACTATGTAGGAACCGGTATCTGACCATGTAGGAACCGGTATCTGACAATGTAGGAACCGGTATCTGACTATGTAGGAACCGGTATATGATTATGTAGGAACCGGTATCTGACTATGTAGGAACCGGTATCTGACTATGTAGGAACCGGTATCTGACCATGTAGGAACCGGTATCTGACAATGTAGGAACCGGTATCTGACTATATAGGAACTGGTATCTGACTATTTAGGAACCTGTACCTTACTATGTAGAAACCGGTATCTGACCATGTAGGAACCGGTATCTGACAATGTAGGAACCGGTATCTGACTATGTAGGAACCGGTAGGAACCGGTATCTGACTATGTAGGAACCGGTATCTGACCATGTAGGGACTGGTATCTGACCATGTAGGAACTGGTATCTCACCATGAAGGAACCGGTATCTGACTATGTAGAAACCGGTATCTGACTATGTAGGAACTGGTATCTGACTATGTAGGAACCGGTATCTGACTATGTAGGAACCGGTATCTGACTATGTAGGAACCGGTATCTGACTATGTAGGAACCGGTATCTATGTAGGAACCTGTTTCTGACTATGTAGGAACCGGTATCTGACAATGTTAGAACCGGTATCTGACTATGTAGGAACCGGTATCTGACTATGTAGGAACCGGTATCTGACTATGTAGGAACCGGTATCTGACCATGTAGGAACTGGTATCTGACTATGTAATGTAGGAAACGGTATCTGACTATGTAGGAACCGGTATCTGACCATAGAAAAGCGGTATCTGACTATATAGGAAAATGTATCTGATTATGTAGGAACCGGTATCTGACTATGTAGGAACCGGTATCTGACTATGCAGGAACCGGTATCTGACCATGTAGGAACCGGTATCTGACTATGTAGGAAACGGTACCTGACTATGTAGAAACCGGTATCTGACCATGTAGGAACCGGTATCTGACAATGTAGGAACCGGTATCTGACTATGTAGGAACCGGTATCTGATTATGTAGGAACCGGTATCTGACTATGTAGGAACCGGTATTTGACTATGTAGGAAGCGGTATCTGACTATGTAGGAACCGGTATCTGACTATGTAGGAACTGGTATCTGACTATGTAGGAACCGGTATCTGACTATGTAGGAACCGGTATCTGACTATGTAGGAACCGGTATCTGACTATGTAGGAACCGGTATCTGACCATGTAGGAACCGGTATCTGACCATGTAGGAACCGGTATCTGACCATGAAGGAACCGGTATCTGACTATGTAGGAACCGGTATCTGACTATGTAGGAACCGGTATCTGACTATGTAGGAACCGGTATCTATGTAGGAATCTGTATCTGACTATGTAGGAACCGGTATCTGACAATGTAGAAACCGGTATATGACCATGTAGGAACCTGTATCTGACTATGTAGGAACCGGTATCTGACTATGTAGGAACCGGTTTCTGACCATAACGGAACCGGTATCTGACTATGTAGGAACCGGTATCTATGTAGGAACCGGTATCTGACTATGTAGGAACCGGTATCTGACAATGTAGAAACCGGTATCTGACTATGTAGGAACCGGTATCTGACTATGTAGGAACCGGTATCTGACTATGTAGAAACCGGTATCTGACTATGTAGGAACCGGTATCTGACTATGTAGGAACCGGTATCTGACTATGTAGGAACCGGTATCTGACTATGTAGGAACCGGTATCTGACTATGTAGGAACCGGTATCTGACTATGTAGGAACCGGTATCTGACTATGTAGGAAACCGGTATCTGACTATGTAGAAACCGGTATCTGACTATGTAGGAACCGGTATCTGACTATGTAGGAACCGGTATCTGACTATGTAGGAACCGGTATCTGACTATGTAGGAACCGGTATCTGACTATGTAGGAACCGGTATCTGACAATGTAGGAACCGGTATCTGACTATGTAGGAACCGGTATCTATGTAGGAACCTGTATCTGACTATGTAGTAATCGGTATCTGACAATGTAGGAACCGGTATCTGACTATGTAGGAACCGGTATCTATGTAGGAACCTGTATCTGACTATGTAGGAACCGGTATCTGACTATGTAGGAACCGGTATCTGACTATGTAGGAACCGGTATCTGACTATGTAGGAACCGGTATCTGACTATGTAGGAACCGGTATCTGACTATGTAGGAACCGGTATCTGACCATGTACGGACTGGTATCTGACCATGTAGGAACTGGTATCTCACCATGAAGGAACCGGTATCTGACTATGTAGGAACCGGTATCTGACTATGTAGAAACCGG